TCCTGGGGGTGTGGTGGCCTGTGGGGGGTGTGGCACCCAGTGTGTGGGGAAGCTGCATTGGCACCCCACCAAGATCGTGCCGCCGGGGGTAGTGCGCTCCCCCCGCTCCCCCGTTCCTCCGCCAGTGCTGAGGGTCATAGCACTCCCTAATTTGGCTACCCAATGCCAAGTCAAACTCACCTTGGCATTGTTGTTGTGGCCTATTTTTAACCCCCCAAAACACTGGATTTACTAATATGTCCTGATGGAGGTGGATTTGTGGTGCCCGGGCATACAAGGAAGGGCCGCAGCTCAGTGGTGCAGCATCTACTTTGCATTCACAAGGTCCCATATTCAGTCTGGATCAAATTGCTCCCACATCCCAAGAGGTCTAGGAAAACATGTCTGAGTCGGCATTGTCAAGGGTGAGAGGGAAGTCAGAAGTGTCTACCTGCACAGCCATAATCAATCAAACAGAATCTATTTTGTTTATAATCACTCTTTCTCATCCAGCTAGTAGTGAGAGGAAGACAGATACAGGGAGCGAGAGAATGAAAGAGAGAGGGGGAAAGGTGATTAATGTTGGCCAAACTGCTTTTGGATAGTCTGATGGGCTGGCCAATGGGTGCAGAGCATTATCAAGAAGTGTATCAGCAAGGGGACTTCTAACGCTGGAACAATGAAATGGCTTTTGGTTTTGGCAGGGCTGGAGCTTTCCAAGTGCTACACTGCAAATGGATATTGTTGTACTGGGGCGGGGGAGAGATTGTGCAGTCAATCTGTGTAAATTACTTTAAGATGTTCTTCAGTGAGCACAGCTTGATATCCTCTGGAGCAGTGGGAATGCTGCTGTCCAAGGTGGCAAAGACAAAAGTGGTGAGCTAGAGTTGCCCTTGTGCTATTGGTGACTTTGCATCTTCCCACAGTGGCAGGATACCCTCCAATATTTCTCCAATGAAAATAGAAACACCCTAAGGAAAGGTGGGACATTCTGGGATCAAATCAGAAACCAAGACAGTTTCTATAAATCCAGGACTGTCCCTGGGAAATAGGGACACTTTGAGGGTCTGATAATGTCCTCAATGGGATAATATACTTGGTCTTTATTAGTTCTTGAGTGTGAAGAAACCAGCACACCTTGCTCTTGACAGACAGGGCGTGGGAATAGATGGATCATAGGTGTGATCTATTCTGACAGATCTTGTCTCCCTTAATGCCTTAATCTAATCTGACAATCCGGGAGGAGGGGGAAAATTGGCCTGCCATCTGTCTCTTTTGCTGCTCAAACACCGGTATGATTTTATTTCCCAGATGTCTTTACAGAGGAGGAGGAGGGGAGAGAAGTAACTTCTGATTAGAATCAAAGTGACACAAATCCACACCCGCACCACTGAAGTCAAAAGGATGTCAAGAGAGTCGGCGAGACGTCAACAAAGACTTAATATGCACCAAAAAAACAACAACTGAGTTTTCTCAGGCCATTGAAGCAGGGAGAGCTTGCGAGAGGCTGGGCAGAAAGACGCCGTGTTTCACTGCAAACTCATTTCGATAAATTAGAGAATGTCAAAACACACTTTGCGGAGATGGCGGAATACTGGCGTGTGGCACCTTGATGGAGCATCACCTGCCTCGTTCTATGGTACATTAAGCAATCGGTGAGAAACGTATGGGTTGTTTTAACAGGCCACTACTGCTGGGATAAGGAGATAAAAATTCAAGGCAGAGGCGAGCCTGACTGGAGACAGGTGACTAATGGCTCCAGGAGGTGTTGATAATGGAATGCAACAGAGTAGTCCATCAATAGGCAGAGCAGGTGAGTGGGGAGGGAAGCAGCTCGATGGACAATTAGGCCTCCCTGTCTAGCCTCTGAGGCTGCTTTGGGTAAACCATTTATGGTGTATGATATCAGGTGTGGGGCAGCTAAAGATGCAGCTAGGGTGAAAGGTGGACTGTGGAGCCGGCAAAGTCCCAGCACTTGGGAACTGCCAACTAGCAGCTGATTGTTGCGGCTTGCAAGTGCATGGCCTTGAATCAACCAATCATCAGAATTTGCAAAACATGGTGCAGACTATCAATGACTACTGTTAGGAATTTTTTCTACTTGGCAAATTGGCACTGGCCATTTGGTTTCTCGCCTACCTTGTAGCAAATCGTCACAACTCCTTTGGTCTTGGTGGTTAGGCATTGGTAGGGGTATTGTTATGTAGATGTGTTGGCGGGGGAGCGCCATCATCTCCCCCAAATATTGAAGGGTAGTCCGGTAAAGGATTCTGGGGGGTGGGGGGTGGCCTTGTCTGAAGCCTATGGAGGCCAGGGCCTAAAGCGCGCCCCCGAGCGGTGACCCTGGGGGAGTACCTAGGGCTCCCCCTGCTGGTGTTAACCCTTCCCGGTCTTCAAGCAAACAGGCTGAAGCCGGATAGTCAGATAGGACCAATGCCTAAGCCAATACCGCTCTTACCTGTAACCAATAATGTTGTGGCCAATTTTAGCCCATTAACCTTAATCAATGGTGTCACGTGTCGTTATTTCTACTGGGGGAGGCGGGAACTCACCACGCAACTAGCAGCTGATTGTTGAGGCTTGCAAGTGCATAGCCTTGAATCAACCAATCATCAAGATTTGCAAAACATGGTGCAGACTATGTAGACTATGGTGGTCATGTTCTATCTTTCCTATCGAAGGCAGTGCAGTGGTACCTTGGGTTACATACGCTTCAGGTTACAGACTCCGCTAACCCAGAAATAGTGCTTCAGGTTAAGAACTTTGCTCCAGGATGAGAACAGAAATCGTGCTCCGGTGGTGCGGCGGCAGCGGGAGGCCCCATTAGCTAAAGTGGTGCTTCAGGTTAAGAACAGTTTCAGGTTAAGAACGGACCTCCGGAACAAATTAAGTACTTAACCTGAGGTACCACTGTATGCCCCTGAATGCCTGTTGCTAGGAATCACAGGTGGGGAGAGTTGCTGTTGCAGTCAGGTTGGCCACAGGCATTTGGCTGGCCTAGATGGGCTGTTGGCTTGATTCAGCAGGCTTTTTTATGTTCTTCAAGTCTTATGCCACTGAGTGCCAAAGTCTGCCATCTCTGCGTGGCAGGGAGTATGAACAAGGAATCCAGCACTCCCAGATCCTATGGCTTTGTGTACTTCTGGCTTGACATTTCACAGTGAGGAATGAAAAGGGAATGGGGTTTTTTTGTGGGGGGAGTTACTACTTGGAGGCAAAAGCAGTGACAGCGCCTTCTCGGCAGTGGCACCCTCCCATCAGATGTCAAGGAGATAAAGAACTACACAACTTTTAGAAGACATCTGAAGGCAGCCCTGTATCAGGAAGTTTTAATGTTTGGTGGTTTATTATGTTTTTATATTTTGCTGGAAGCAGCCTTGAGTGGCTGGGAGAACCCAGTCAGATGGGTGGGGTATAAATAATAAAAATGATTGTTTTTATTACGTCATTTGACTTCTTTTTAAAAAAGTTTTTGCTGTTCCACAAGTGGCACAGTGGAGTCACTGCTCCCTGCCCCTGCCCACCCTGTGCTTTTCAGCATGTTGCTACTGCATGATGTAACCATTTTCCAAGGGCCATGCAATCACAGAATGGGAAGGTCTTAATGCTGGTGGTGGCCAAACCAAAAGAGGTGGTAGGGGAAAAACACCACTAAACGGCATATATCCCTTGAAAATGTTGCTGACTTTCACCATCCACACACACAAAAGTATCACTGAAATGCCTCCCTGTCGCTACTTCAATTCACAGTTTGTGAATATGGGGATTTCATCTCAGCCCAACTTCGCAAACTTTATCAATCATCAGCACCATCTGCCAATGTGCATGGTGATGTACAGAACAAATGCAACCCTCCATCCCAAGAAGCCTGCAATGTAAAAGAGAAGGCAATGAAGGGAGGAATGTGGATAATGGAGGTACAGGTAAAATGGAAAATAATACGTGGTCTGTGGCAACACACAATCCCAACAGTAAGGAGGAGCTATTCAGAAGAGAAGAGGGGTGTGTGTGTGTGAAAGAGCGAGAGTGAGAAAGAGTGAGAGAGAGAGAAACCAAAGATTAAGTTGGTGTAGTCTCCACTTCCCTGGCCACTGGAATCAATAGCAAAACATTGCCAGTGCATAGATGTATCTCCACAGTGACAATGAAATAGTGGCTGCTCTTTGAAAGGGGAAGGAGAAAAGCTGGCCAGGTTTATCAAGGGACATTCAGATTTCCTGAGCAATTATCTGCCTGCATATTGAGGCTTCACAAAGAGCAGGAGGTCCCCGATAACAGACGTGCACCGCTTGAAGATAAATAAAATGAATGCTGTCGCGTCCCTCTGTTTCGCAGCGATAAGAGGAAAAGTAAGGCTAAAGCCCAATTTGCATCATTTATGAACCTTTGCTCAGGCGTGGGGTTGCCTCTAATGGGAAAGGAGTAGGGAACCATGCGCGTGAGAACACACACACACACAAGGAGGGAGGGTGGTATGAAATATCTGCAGCTCCTGAATTTGCAAAATATGAGTCGGGTGGAGGGCCTTTGGAAGAGAAAAACAGCTGTCAGGAGGGGAGGAGCTTCACCCATTTCCACAGCCACTGCTTTCCTTCTGGATCTCCTCCCCCAGGCTGCTTTACCCCTTGAGATGAACATATATACGTGCATAGCTGCACTTTGGTCCACATATTGCTCCAGGGAGTACAAATTAGGTAGATGCACACTAAAAAGCAAAAAACTGTATGGATTTTGTCTCCAGTCCTATTGACTTCCCAGCCAAGATGTCAGCAGAAAGGTCGCAGAAGAAAGGTTGCTTTTTGTGGGGTACGTGAGGAAGATGCCATCAGTGGGGCTCCCTTTTGTGTGAGCCCACATACTCATCATTGGTGCTTATTTCCTTCCTTCCGTCTTTCCTCTGTCCCTAAGCCACACAGCTGCTCAAAAGAAGGCAGGACAGGTGGAGGAAGCAGCTCCAGTTCCTGAGTCTTCTCACTGCATGGAGAGGGCAAGTGATCAGGTGGTAGCAATAGCAAATATGAGGGGGAAGGGCCATAGCTCAGTGGTAGATCATCTGTCTTCCATGCAGAAGGTCCCAGGTTCAACCCTTGGTACCTCCAGGTGGGACCGTGAATGTCCATGATCTGATACCCTGGAGAGCCACTGCCACTGCCAACACTGAGCTAGCTGGACCACTGGCCTGACTCAATATGAGGCAGTTTCTTAACGTCAGTGTGGGTGATACTGAACTACATGGAACACTGGATGGGCTTAGCCTAAGGCAGCTTCCTATGAGGATCACAACCAAGGGGCCCTAGGGGTCAGTGATGGGCCTTCTGAAGGAGTGCATACCTCAACAGGAACCCAGTAATGCCTGCTGGAAGTTTGAGTGCAACTCAGCTTGGACAAGAGGGATTTTGCATGGGTGAAGGCAGATAGAATTTGGGGCATCCAGATTCCTAGACTATCCTTGTACTTTTAACCTCTTGAGCTGACCTCTGTATCTGATATTAGACTGATATGGTTGCATTCTTTTACAGCTTCCTGCTCCTCTCACACTTCTCTTGGACCTTAATATGAGAGGTCAACTTGGAGCTAGTATGGCTGCCTTTGTTCTTCTCCAGATTGGCTAGTTAGGTTAGAAACTTTTCTATCCAATGTATGTATTTCCTACTATAAACTACTTCATTGTTTTCTTACTCTGCAAGCATATATCTGTGTGGGATTGCAACAAGTCTACTCTTTCGCTCAGTTGGTTAGAGTGTAGTGCTGATAACACGAAGGTTGCAGGTTCGATCCCTTTAGGGATTGGATCAGATGATCCTCAGTGTCCCTTCCAACTCTACAATGCTATGATTCTACGATTCTTTAACCAAGATTCACTAGCAAAAATGCCTCTCACTCTGCATATGAAAGGGTTCCAACAAGTAACTGGACCCAGCTATCCCAATAATGCCTAGACAGAATGCTGCGCTGACACCAGCTCTGAAAGTTGCACAAGGACTTGGCCAACTCAGAACAGTGGTGTGTGGTTGATGCATCTGATGGGGTGGCTTAAATTCCTCAAGGCACACAACACCCCCTCTCATGGCATGCAGTGTTGTTTTTGTGGGGAGTGGTCACCAAGATCAGCCCTTGGGATTAAGGAACTTTCAGCAGTAAAGCAGCAATGATATGAAATTGCAGAAAGTCACCTGATAGGTGCAGACTCGTCCCCTTTGTCCAGCCAGTCTTGCGGTGGGATTATGTACATACACCAGAGTCCCCAGTTGTAGCCATGAGCTGCATTGGCGTATTGCTGCACTTCAAACGTGTTGTATTTTATGTTGTCAATAGCTGGAAGGATGATCCGTTTCCTGTCTTCTTTGATGCGGGTAAGTGCCGGCTCCACCCTGTAAACAAACAATATTTGTTCCTGTTTTTCTTTTTGTTTTTAAGAAGAGTATTTTGTTGAGAATAAATAGAACTGAAATTAATGCTCCCAATTCACCCCCATATGGAATATTGATGGCCATCAACTTGGAAGGCTTTACAAGAGGATTAGACAAATTCATGGAGCAAAAAGGATATCAGCGGCTTTGTTCTTCCTCTACTTTTGAAGACACTATGCCTCAAAACACCTATTGCTGGGAATCACAAGTGGGGTTGTGCTCAGAGCCTACTAGCTGGCTTCCCCTGGGCATCTGGCTGGCTGCTGTGGAACAAGACGCTGGACTAGATTATCCTTACCTTATCCAGCAGCCTCTTCTTATGTTCTCTTGAAGTCAACTATTATTTCTTAAAAAAATAAGTGAACAAATCAATCTTGAATATATCCATGAGCAGGGCTGTTGGACATGAGCAGGGAACCTGTGGATATTCAGTTGTTCATAGAATCATAGAATTGTAGAATTGGAAGGGACCTTGAGGATCACGTTGGACACCAACGCATAAGAACATAGGAAGGACCTTCTATGATCAGGCCAATGACCCATCTAGTCCAGCATCCTGTTCTCACAGTGGCCAACCCGATGACTGTGGGAAATTCACAAGCAGAATATGAGTGCAAGAGCAGGCTCACTTCCTGTGGTTTCCAGCAACTGGGATTCAGAAGCACTACTGCCACCAACTCCCATCAGTCCCAAGCCTCATGGCCAGTGGTCAGATGATGGAGCTCAGCCATGCTGGAAGGACTACAGGTCCACCACCCCTGCTTTAGGACTTTGTAAGAATCTCAACCCATCCCACCACTGAGATTTGAAACAGCACCCCTGAACCCTTTCATTCATTTGCAACGAGGTGCTGCACGGCCAACAAACACCTATAGGGTGCATGGGGAGGGGACGTAGGCTATGCATCCCATCATATCAAGAGCCAATAGCCATCTAGACGTGACTGGACTACAACTTCCAGCATCCCTGACCATCGTGCTGGCTGGGGCTGGGACCAACATTATCCGGAGGACCATAGGTTTCCCTTTCATGCTCCAAGCCATGCTTGGATTGGGTAGATCAGACAGGTGGGCAAGGCAGCTTCCTATATGATATGTAGAAGAGTCTCTGGTCCTGGTGTATCAAGTCTTTAGCTTAAGGAATGCACCTGTACTTATCCTCCAGCTTTTCACAGAAGAAAACAGGATACATTCACCTTGCACCACTCCTGCCCTTGTAGGGAAGATCACTATCTGAACCTTCAGAACATAATGCATTGCTGAAGGCTCTGCTCTTGCCTGTCACTTGCTATATTCACATACTCTGCAAAGGCCTGCCCTCCCCTGGTCTGAAAAGCCAACATGGTGTTTATTCTTTTGGTTAAAGAATTCAGCAGGGAAAACTGCTACAACAAATTGTCTAAGAAGACATAACCAACAACAGTAAATATATCAATATGTCCGATGAGTGAAATGGCAAGTGGTGCACTGCATACTAATTTAGTGTTTACATCAAGGATGGGGCAGGTCTAGCCTATGGGTCAAACATGGCCTCCCATGCCTCCCCATTTTGCCTGAAAGAACAAAACCATGCTCAGCTGTCCCACACCTGATGTAATATGTGATGTTAGGTGTGGGACACATATATTCATGGTGGCAGAAAGCAGGGTTGACCTCCTCGTGCATCAGTTAACGCATGGTGGTGGGGACGGGCTGGTACACTCAAACTCTGCAGGAAGTAGGGCTGAACCCCCATTCATGAGCTAATATGCAGAAAGTTCAGTCCTACTGGGTTCAGGCATGCAAACCAGTCACCATTCCTGAGCCTTGCAGGAAGCAAGATTGAACCTCAGTTCCTCAGCAGATGAGCAGGGAATTCAATCCTTCTTGATTTGGGCACATCAGCCAACTCCTGTTCACGCACCCTGAAAAAGCAGGATTGAACCCTTGTGTACCACCCAATATGCAGTTTGTTGAATATTGATCAGGTAATGTCTCTCCTCACCACCACCAAGGGTCAACTTCAACAGGTGTTCTAAAGGCAAGATGAACCCACCCAACCACCACCACTCAGAGATGTAACTTCCAGAGGACTGGGGATGCAGTTACCAGTAAATGTTGCTGGATGGCAACTCTTAAAGACAGGCAGTGTGGAATAATGGTTAGAGTGTTGGGCTAGGACCAAGCAGACCAGACGTATCTCTGAATGTCAGTAGCTGGGAAACAGCAGCGGGAATGGACTATAGTCCCCCTATCCTTCTTGTGGGCTTCCCAGAGGCCACTGAGGGAAACATGATGCTGGACTAGATAGGTTTTTGGTGTGAACCAGCAGGGTCCTTCTTACATTCTTATCCAGGTTCAAATCCCATTCATCCATAAAACTCACTGGACAATCTGAGGCTGGTCACAAGTGCTTAGCCTAACTTACTTTACAAGGATGGGGGGGGGGAGGACCATGTATGAACATCTTGGAGGAAGTGTGGAAGATAATGGATGACAATTCTAGCAGCTTGTACTAACCATGTTTGAACAAGGCATGCCCAAAAGGCAAAAGCAAAAAGATAGGAAAGCAATTTACCAGAGTCCAGTAATAGCAAAGAGGAATTGTCCCTAACAAATAGGAGCAGCCAGAGCACAAACATCTGCAGGAGCACATGCAACATATTGTTCAAATCAAAACACTCAAGGGCCAAACTGCTCCACCCCCACCATGGTATAGATAAGAGACATCTGTTCAATGCTCTCTCTTCTCTTCTCTCTTCACTTCTCTCTCCGTAGTGCATTAGTCAAAAGGTGCCAGTTTGTGGAATCTTAATCTTACCCACATGGCCTAGAGAAGGAGACCTTCTTTTTAAACAACAACAACAACCAGCTTGTGCTATTTAGACAAGATTAAATTTATGAGAAAGCTGGTTGTTGGAGGATGACAGGGGATTCCAAGGAGAAGAGCTGGATATTCTCCAAGAAATCAAAACACAATTCAGCTAAGAGGCACAATTTCTCCCTACTTCTCAAGCAGAAATGGCTTGTTGTGCTGCAGGCATCTATGGAAATGTGGAGAGGTAAAAACCCTCTCTCTCTCTCTCTCTCTCTCTCTCTCTCTCTCTCTCACACACACACACACACACACGCACGCACACTTACATGGCAATGCCACAACTGTCATTTCTCCTGGTTCCATCAGCAGGTTTTTGTGTCTCCATTAGTCAAGTAAGTGGGAACAATCCATTCAGACCTAAATAACAATTGCTGTCTGCAACACACACACACACACACACACACAAAAACACGTTGCTTTCTTTCGGCCTGCTATGTCAAGCATCTGAATACCAAGCAACAGATGTAGGCGTCATTAGTGACACACTGTTAATTTGTTTACCTGGCAGAGAAGGACTTGGCTGCTGTGATTCACTTGTTATTGAAGGGTGAAGTGGGGGGGGTCACCTTGGGGTATTTCATTGCCAAGTGACAACCACCTCAGGGAACAGCCCTCAGGGGGCTGTCACTGAAAGAAGAGGGGGTCTTTGTATTGTCATTGTAGCAATACAGAACAGAGAGTCTTGAAGGTAAATAGCATTGCATGCAATAAGTCATTGTGACAAGTGTCTTCTCTAGTGCGGACAACCCATTTAGGAGGGATGGCTACATCACAGATCGTAATACTGTGGGATAGAGGATAAATTGGTTCAGTTCACATTTTAAAGCCAACTGATCTACTTAGATGGTCCTGAACTCAAATGCAGACAAGAACGCAGCTACCAGCTGGCTGATGCACTTCTCTCTGAGTTTTGTGATGCATTCTTGGTTTTGGAAAGCATACCCAAAAATTCATATTTAACAAGAAAAATGCATATTTTATGGGGAAATGCATTTGAGAAGGACACAGAATGCATATTTTAGGGAGAGAATATGTACATATCGTGTGGTTTTTTTCAGTTAGCAAAAAATAATGATGGAATGGACCTACAATTAACCGTATGTGAAACTGATATGGAATGGAAAAGGGTTCATCAGTACATCCCAATAGCACTTTGTTGTTGTTTTTTTAAAAAAATCCCCTGCTAGATATGAATACACATGGATGGTCAATATTGCAGGAACATAGGAAGCTTCCATATATCAAACCAGATCATTGGTCCATTGAGCTCAGTGTTGTTTACACTGGCTGGCAGTGACTACCCAGGGTTTCAGACAAAGGACATTTCAAGAGCTACCTGGAGATGCCAGGATTTGAACCTGGGACCTCCTGCATGAGCTGCTGCTCTACAGTTCAGACAAAGGCAGCCAGAACATCTCCCTTTGGCCTGTCCCTCACCTCTGTGATAGGAGGGCAGTCTAGACAATCATGGCAGAGACCTCTTGTGACAGTGCACACAGTCCAATGCCACTCATAGTAACTTCCTCCTGCCTATTTCTTCTGTTGTAAACTGCCCTGTGATCTTTGGGCAAAGGCTGTTTTATCAATTTAATAAGCAACAACAATAGTATTAGGATGAGAGCTCCCGATATATGAACAGACTGTAAAATTATGAATGGCTGGAAAGCCTAGCTTACTCTCACAGTGTTGGGGATTCTTTGCTTGTCGGGCATTTGTGTCCTCTTTTGTAAAAATTTGATTAACATAAAGCAATACCCAGCATGGAGCTCACTTGGGTACCATGAGAAATTAATGCAACACCCTTTCCTCAAAAGCAGTTGCGCCATGATGCCTGTTTCAAAAAGGAGATGCCTAAAATCTTTTATCAAAGGATCCCTTGCAGAGGCCTGGTGGAGCTGTCATGTTGGATACTGCCAAACCACCCCCATTTCCTTATTACAGCTGACTACGGCTCTCTAAGGCCGCTAGTTTGTCCTCCTCCTGCACATACTTTCCATAGCTCCATAGCAACTCCATAAATCATCTTGCTTGAGTTATGCAGCTTCCTGTACAAGAGAGATCAGATTTCCTTATGGGAGAATAATGATGATATCAGTAGGGCTGTTTGTGCTTTAGTAGTCCTTCTGAAGTGGGTAGTGGGGGCGGCTGGCGACGATCAGGGAATCATGCCCACTTCCAAATAAAGTCTTAGCAATGTGGTGTGAGTGTCCTCCCAACACTGTCCCCAGATAGCTATGGAATTCAGCAATGAGAGGATGACATAAGGGTTAGGGTGCTGGACTAGGACCTGGGAGATCAGTGTTTACGTCCCCACTCGGCCATGGAGCTTGATGGGTGAACTTGGGCCAGTCTCCAAGTCCCACTTTGACTAGGTGAATTGCAAGCAATAGCACCAAACTAGCTGTGATTATTAATTTCAATTGGACTAACAATAGATGCAACCCACTGTCCCTCAGTCTAACCTACCTCTCAGGATAAGGAAGGGAGAACTCTGAATGTCACCTTGAGCTTCATAGAGGAGCAGTGGGATATAAGGCATTTCTTACATTTATATACTATCTTTTCCACCAAGGAGCTGAAGGTGGTGTATCCCCATTTTATCTTCACAACAACCCTGTGAGGTAAGTTAGGCTGAGAAGCAGTGACTGGTCAAAGGTCACCCATTAAGCTTCATGGCTTAGTGGGTGTTCAAACCCTGGTCTCCCAGGTCCTACTCTGACACTCTAACCATTACACCGCACTGGTTCTAAGTAGTAACGTAGCAATAAATATGTAAACTACAACAACCAAGGAGGTTGTCAAGCAAGGAAATGAAAGCAGATGTGAGGGAGTTCTGAGGACCAGACAAGCTTGGAAGACACCATTCAGTCTCCAGGTGTGAGGTTCCCCACCCCTCCATTAGAACATCAATTATCACACTGGACACCAAGTACTTCTGGTTTCAAACTAAAGAGCTAAACCGTTCCCAATGATGAGCTATGTTTGAAAACTTCCATTTCCACTTTCTCGGAAGCCTGAACTGTGAAATTTCACAGATACAGAAATGGCAAGCGAAGATTCCCCCGGGTTTGTGAAAGAATGAGATCATGTCACCACTTTTATTTTCCATCTGGAAAGAATACTAAAATGGAAACACACGGGAAACGATGACACAATCAAAGCCTTTGAGGAGAGGAGCAACACCTGTGCCAGGCCAAAGTCAGCTGTTCTGCCATGACCCCACAGGGTACAAATATACATGGAAGATACTTTTATAAGAAAGAAATATCAGAGGTCTTCCAGAGAATTCCAGAGAAACCACTGGAGAATTTATCCCCACTCCCTGGGAAATTTGGTTTCTCTGCGTGCGAATAAAGTGGAGAATTTAAAGAGGCCACATGTAACCTGATTTCCATCTGATGCTCAAAGCACTAAAAATCTCTGACTCGAAGCCAGTTCCAATGTTCTCTCCATGTGGAGAAGAAGTAAGGAGGGGTCTCCAGCAGCAATTTGCCCTGAAGCTAAGTTCCTTGACAGCATAGGAAGCAGAATTCCCTATCCTTATCCTGCTGGGTGAAGCAGGGGAGTGGTCCAATCAAGCCCTATGAAGCCCTATGAAGAACTATTACATAGGACACTGGACCATTAGAGGAGCTGTCCAACAGCTTCAGCAACATGAAGTCCAAGCTCCAAGTGCTGAAGCAGTCAAGGGGGAAGGTAGACCTAGGAGCTGGTCAATGGAGCTGATCCATCAGCAGCTTCCAGGAAACAAAGAAAAGTTTATGTCATTAATGGAGAACCTTTTACCTGTTTAACTCCAACTCCCATCAGTCCGAGCCAGCATGGCCAGTCCTTAGGGTCGACAGGAATTATAGTCCAATGACATCCATAGGCAAAATGCTAATGCAATTAGCTGGGTTCTCTCATTCTTCCTGGCACATTAGTGGGAACCAAATCTCATGGTGATTGGTAGGGGGTCCATATTTCGGTTGGGGCACATTATTGTTAGAAAATGCCCTGGGGTGCCCCTGCAAGCCCCCGAAACTCCAAGCATCTTCTGATGAGCATAACTCTGGAGAGGCATTCCCCCTTGTCTCCAGGGTGCTCCATTCCCAAGCTTCCTTGGAAAATGCAACTATTTTGCAGGCTATCTGACCTCTCAGGGTGATTGTGAAAATGAAACAGGAGATAATCATATATTCCACCTTGAGCTACATAGAAAAGTTGGATATAAATGCAGGTAATAATCAGTAATATCATGGTCTCAGGACTCCTGTCAAAGTGTCCTGTCTCCTCCTCATCCTGGTCCATGCTCAGACTCACAGCAAAATCAAATCTAATTCTTTATCACATCAGGACCAAGGAGCAAGCTAGAACTTGGGACAAAATCATTACTGAGAGTGCAGGAACACAACAGAGCCCGGGAAGTCCTTTTGCAAGGCTCAAGCAAGGGTCAATCTGACCAGGAAGCATTATGATACTCCTTTCTGTGCCGAAGGATCCAATGGCCAGCCTGTGTGGGTGGAGACAATCAGTCCAGGACCTGAAGGCAGTCAACTAGGGAAGCTACCACCTGCAATTCAGAGCTTCACCACATGGGGCACCCACACAAAGGCTGAGCTGTTCTTGACATCAGAGGGCCATGCAGAGGTAGTGAGGGCTGGCTGATCACGAGAAAACTTGTGGCAGGTAGCATTTAATTAAACAATAGAAACAAAACTTTGGGCCAAAAGCCAGGCATTTCCTTGACAATTATTGATTTGTGACAAATCCCAGGTATCTCTGGACTGTTGGGACACATGTCTTTGGTCTGACCCAGCACAACGTCTCTTCTGCTCTGAATATTTTCAATCTCATTTCCTTCATTGAGTAACTTAAGTAGGGGATTGCTCAGGCTAAGAGAGACACCATTAAGCCTCATTCTCCTACATTCCATTATTAGCCTAATGGCCCAAAATCTTTTGATTGAAAATTAATTCTCTGGAGGAATCTGGACAACAGTGTTTGAAATGGGAGCTTTTTTTTTGTGGGTGAATGGGGGGGGGGGTAAGGGCCTCCCCAGCCTCATAATGACTATTTCTGGGTATTCAACCAGTTAGATTCTTTTCAACTTCATTGGCGCTCCCTGCAGGGACATTAATGTGACTTGAAGTACATGGTTGGTTGGAGGCACACTGAAGCTTACCTCCTTCAGATTCCAAAGCTAAATACTCTTGTCTACTCATTTTGTCTTATCTATCTATCTTTTAAGGATGAGTGGGCTTCCCCCCCTCCCTGTCACCATTCCAGTGCCATTCCCAGGTTTGCTCTCCCATCTCTCCCAGTTTAACTTTGTGAATGTCTCAATTTGATTCCAGACTTCCTCAACCCAGGATTAGAACTCCCATCATCCCTGATCATTGGCCATGCTGGCTTGGGTTGATGGGGAGGAGTAGCCAAAACATCTGGAGGGCACTAGGTCAGGGAAATAGGCAGTAGCCCCTTTCATGCATTCCTCTATGCACAGGTTTAATACCAGGGAGAAGCATTCATAGAATTGCAGAGCTGGAAGGGACCCTAAGGATCATCTAGTCCCCAGCAATGCAGGAATATGCAGTTGTCACATACGGTGGAACCTTGGTACTCGAACGGCTTGGCTTCTGAACAAATCGGCTCCTGAACGCTGCAAACCCAGAAGTAAGCGTTCCAGTTTGCAAGCATTTTTCAGAAGCCGAACATCCAACGCAGCTTCCGCTTGAGTGCAGGAAGCTCCTGCAGCCAATCAGAAGCCACGCCTTAGTTTTTGAATGGTTTCAGGAGTTGAATGGACTCCCAGAATGGAATAAGTTTGAGAACCAAGGTACCACTGTATGGGGATCGAACCTGCAACCTTGACATTGTTAGCACCACATCTAACCAACTGAGCTATCAGAAGCAGGACTATGTCAACTGGCCGCACCTCCTGATGTGCACAAGAGCCCTCTCTCCTCCTGTTATTTCTTGCTACTGGTATTTAGAAGCATTGTGGTGGCACAACATAGCCATTGTGGCTAGTTGCAGAGTGACCCAGGCTGTGTTGGGTTAAACCAACAGGAAGGAAGGGAGGAAGGAAGGAAACTTGGGACTCTGTGGAATGTGCAGTTCAAGCCTAAGTTTCAGTAATTGGAATGAAGTTGTCATGAGACAGAGTTTTAGCAGTCTGCAGACAGCATTTCAAACTCCACCACCTTCGCAGGCATGGTAATAAAAGTGTCTCAGCAACATCTCAAGGTCTTTTATCGATTGCCAGTTAAAGCAGCCGTCCTTTTAGCTTTTTACCAATTGCCCGATTCAAGCATCCATTCTATCACAAAGCACAACCTTGAAGCTTACACCTGATATATATTAACTGTTAATATTTAATACTTAAATTAGCTAGCCTACAATCCTTGTCCTAGATGAGTGAAGGACGAATGCGTTGCCACTGGTGGGTTAAGAGAGAATTCTCTTTCTCTGATAACCTTTCCTATGACTCAGCTACATTAGTAAAAAAACCACAGCACTTCGAATACAGAATACAGGCTTCAGATTTTTCTCAGTTTCCATGGCTTAGCATCCCCACCCCAACTTGTCCATTATGCCATCTCCCCTGCCCATGTCCTACCTATCATAGACCTTACCAGCCGGTGTTGAACTCGACGTGAGCATCAAAAAACCCAACCACTGGTGACGTTGCTGCCTTCCAACCTTGGATTCTGGCTCGGATCAGCCCTTCTCGTTTGTTATTACGAACTATTTTCACCAGCCCTGGGTATCTCTTGTGGACATACTGGTCCAAATTAAACTTCAGCTCAACTGTAAAAACAAAGAGACAAGGAGATTTGGGAGTTGAGAAGCACATTCTGTTTCATTTCAACAGAATCTCATTTAACTTGGAGTAAGCATTTCTGAAGCTGAAGGCTCCGATACTTTGGCCACCTCATGAGAAGAGAAGACTCCCTGGAAAAGACCCTGATGTTGGGAAAGATGGAGGGCACAAGGAGAAGGGGACGACAGAGGATGAGATGGTTGGACAGTGTTCTTGAAGCTACCAACATGAATTTGACCAAACTGCAGGAGGCAGTGGAAGACAGGAGTGCCTGGTGTGCTCTGGTCCATGGGGTCACGAAGAGTCGGACACGACTAAATGACTAAACAACAACAACAACAACAAACATTTCTGAAGACCTGAATGAGGACAATTCAATCATGCCAAATTACTCAATGCTTAGCCCCTTGTGTCTGCCCCACCATTTAAAAATTACTTCAAAAACAGAGGGTAGTATTCAATGATTGTGCTACCTGGAGTAGACACATTGAAATTAATGGACTTGATTCACTTAAGTTTGTTAATTTCAGTGGGTCTATTCTGAACAGGATTTGGTTGGATAGTGTAACATATTGGGGTTACTCTATTTTATTGTGCATTTGCTATGTTAGGTAGCCCAAAATGAAATGGATTGGGGCATTTGAATATTATTATTATTATTATTATTATTATTATTATTATTATTATTAATTATTATTGGTATTACTATTCCAGATCATGAGAAATAATGAGTTTCTGCGCATTACATTGTAAGAAGTTGGTCACACTGACCAAAGCTTAAGAAAGATTCACTTGGGAAGAGCCATACCTCAGTGGTAGGACATCTGACTTAGAATACAGAAGGTCGCATGTTCAATTACCAGCATTTCCAGGTAGGGCTGGGAAAGACCCCTGCTGGAAACTGGTCAGTATAGTTGTTACTGAGCTAGATAGACTAGTGGTCTGACTCAGTACAAGGCCGTTTCCTATGTTTCTAAGCTTAAAGTGCACCCCACAGTAAATATACATATTGCACCCCAAGATTGGATCACAAGTTCTCCTTCAACGGAAACAATACCTCTATATCTTCATTCTTTTTGGTGTCCATACCTGATGCCTCCATTGAAGCAGAATAAGCACAAGTTTAACACTAATTTTCGTGTTATTTGAAATTGGATTCTTTTTTTTCCCCTGGAAGCAAATAACACAGAAATCAGCACTAAACTTCTGCTATATTTCTCTTTTATGTCATGTGAAAGCACAAATATAATTAGGAACTTGAAAGTTAGGGCAACGTTGGGGAGAACAGGATCAGTTGTGGTGTGAATGCAGTGCAGAACCCATATGTTTGCAGGGAAATGGTCACAGCTCTGTGGCACATGGGAAGCTGCCATTGGTCCATCTAGTCCAGCGTTGTTTACACGGTCTGGCAGCAGTTCTCAAGGGTTTCAGACAAGAGTTTTAGTCTTGCCTGAAGATACCAGAATTTGAACGTTGGACCTAAGCTGTGGCATTGCACAGCCCACAATTAGCACATTATTTCCCCATAATGGGAAAACAAGCTGCTCATAAGTACATATGAATCATTTTTCCTCAACAGTTTTTCCCCATTATGGACAATCCAAACATGCGTATTAGTAAGAAACAGAAAACAAACACAAACAAACAAACAAACAAACAAACAAACAACAGGTGTTTTGAATATTCACCATTGTCACTGTTGTCATCCACCAAGATAATCTCCTTGAGCAAGTGGGATGGGGTGTGATTCACAACACTGTGTACTGAACGCAAGATGACAGATAGAGCCTCATTTACAAAAATAAAGACCACCGAGATCTGGGGCAGGTCATCAGGATAGGACATCTGTTTGCACCTGGGGAGAATAAAAATGAGGACTAAGATGCACTGAGTATTTCAAAAACAACAACAAAAACCACACCTTAGCTTTCATTAAGCTTTTCTCCATTTAAATGGAGGGACCCAATTTTATTTATTTATAAAAACATTTGCATACCGTTATGTCATAAAAACAGTATCAAAGTGGTTTACACCATGGGTCAGCAAACTAAGGCCTGGGGGCCGGATCAGGCCCAATTGCCTTCTGGATCCGGCCCACGGACGGTCCGGGAATCGCCGTGTGGATCACCAGTGTGCGCGTTCTTCCCCTCTCCGTCCCTCTCCCTCACACGGCGGTGGTGGCGCCTCCTCCCTCCCTCCTCCTGGCTTCTCCCTGCCCTGCCTAGAGGAGGAAGGGGGCTGGGCTTTGCTGGTGCCAGCAGAAGCAGCAGCGCTCGAGCGGCCACCATTTTAAGCAGCCCCTCTCTAGAGCCCTTTTGCACGCTGCTCATCATCCCTCCGCCACTGCCGCCAGCCCCTACTGCTCGCAAGACACAGATAAGCAGCGATAGGGGCTCGTGGTGCTCTTGAATCATTTTTCTTCTTCTTCAAAATATACTCTGGCCCCCCACAAGGTCTGAGGGACAGTGGACCAGCCCCCTGCTGAAAAAGTTTGCTGACCCCTGGTTTACACCAATGTAATACAAAAATGTACAATAAATACAATTACAGAATGTTAAGAGCAAACATCTATTAACCACTGTGGAAGGGTGCACTCTTAATTGTCTGCATGGCCCGGGCAGAATAGAGAAGTATTCAGCAGCCATTTAAACTGTACGGGGAGCAACCCTACTAGAAAAGCTAACCAGCAAACTGAAATTAGCACAGAGACAAATGGAAGAGGATGTCTTCACCCTGGTGTGGCTCCCCTTTATTCCATATGCATTCCAACAAGACAATGACCTAACCCCCCCCAACATACATACGAATTGACCCAACAACCACCCCCAAGCAAAACTCACTGCAATCAACTGAACGCAACCAACCATGCTCTGGGCTCTCCATCCTCTCGCACCACCAACATTAATGAATAAATTAATAAAAAAAGAAAGAACCTCTGCACATACACTATGCCAAATAATAAAATATCATCATCTCCCCCTTCTCTCTCCCTACAGTGTCTCACACTGAATGTAACTGACCTATAGAAAGGACTCTGTGAATTGAAAACAGAGACATTATATGTACCTTTGTTACGCATGAAAATATTTCAATAAAAACATTTTTATTAAAAAAGTTGGCACAGAAGGCACCTGCTGAATGTCTATTGGCAGAGTATTGCATAGGACTGGGTTGATGACACTTTTTTATTGTTGTCAATAAGAGCCTCACCAAGTTGGAGAACAACTAGCAATGCTCCTGCAGATTATTTTAGTGATCAATCTGAAATTTAAGGGTTTAAGGAGCCCCTGAGGGACCCTGGTCATAAGTTGTTCAGGGCTTTGTAATTTTTTGGAAATGGTTCACCCATATGCACTGGTCACTTATCTCCCCTCCATCTTGTGTGTATAGGATCACCCAGGGATGCTTCTTTTTCTGGGTGATGGGGGGCTAGTCTGTGGCCTCCTAGGTATTAGGGACATGGGTGGCACTGTGGTCTAAACCACTGAGCCTCTTGGGCTTGCCGATCAGAAGGTTGGCGGTTCAAATCCCCGCAATGGGGTGAGGTCCCATTGCTCTGTCCCAGCTCCTGTCAACCTAGCCGTGCACGCCAGTGCAAGTAGATAAATAGGTACCGCTGTGGCGGGAAGGTAAAAGGCATTTCTGTGTGCTCTGGGTTCCGTCACAGTGTTCCATTGCGCCAGAAGTGGTTTAGTCATGCTAGTCACATGACCGGGAAAGCTGTCTGTGGACAAACACCGGCTCCCTCGGCCTGAAGTGAGATGAGCGCCGCAACCCCATTGTCGCCTTTGACTAGACTTAACTGTCCAGGCATCCTTTACCTTTAACTTTACTCCAAGATGTTACTCAACAGTGAACAACTGAAATATCATCTCACTCCTTATGCAACCAATTGACCACTGTGCTCTGTAGGCAAGGACCTCCTACATCTTATAAGGAAGTCAGTTCCTCACAATACAGAAATTGTGTCATTACTGTGGTGGAATTCCCTCCCATTAAATATTAGGCAGGTGCCATCTCACTTGTCTTTTTGGTGCCTAATTTAGAGACTTTTCCCGTTCAACAAATGGAGTTCTCTCTCAGTTTGCATCTGTATTTGAATTGTTTAAAATATTTTTTAATAGTTTTAATTTAATTTAATTGGCTGCCTCCTTTGAGAGGTAGTGTGGGATATAGATTTAATTATTTGATTAATTAATAAGTCCCATAAGCTCCAGCAAGCATGGGCAATAGCCAGGGATGATGGGAGCTATAGTATGAAACTACCTGGAGAGCAACAGGTTAGGCCCCCCATCCTATTTGAACCAGGATATGCATTTTTTCCCATCCACTACAATTGTGATAATGGCTGAGTATTACTCTGGGCACTGTCTAAACATTTTTGGATATTCAAACCATGCAGGAACCTGAGAATTAACCCCAGCTGCCGCAGGTATCAACCCACAGTTCAGTCTTCTGCAGAGCACCTTGCAATGAAAGTGAAATGCCAACTCTCTCCTTTGCATAGAAATTAATGTTAAAAATAACCAACATGCTCTCACAGGCAGATCCAGGGTCCAATTACCATAGCAATTACGAGGCCTGTTCTCTAAAATACAGCTAATGATACCACAGGAAATGACTTTCCTTGCTCTTGTCAAACTCGATGACCTCCTGGCTCATCACTTCAACGTAATGATCATACTTTTTTTAACCGTTAGCCATTTATCTCTGGGGGGTGGGGGTGATAGATCGTGCCTGGCTACCAGATAACCCCTGGTGATACATGATGGAGAGGGGGAAAGTGCTGGAGCAATCCATTTTCTGGCCCAGTCCGAGCTGTATTGTATCAAAAGGTTGGTGGAAGCTATCACCCACCCCAATGTCCTTGTGACAATTTAAAGTCCTGTGGGCAACCTACCTCTCAGTGGGGCAGCACATTAGGGCAAATGGGGCAATGCCCCATCAACATCAGTCTGCCCTCAGCCAGCCCTCTTGCCTGCCTTCTTACTTACAACTCGACCGGGGAGTGTGCATATGTCAGCTTCCTCCTCTGTAGAACTCAATAGGGTGAAGGATGGGAAGAAGAAGAAGAAGAGGAGGAGGAGGAGGAGGAGGAGGAGTTTGGATTTGATATCCCACTTTATCACTACCCGAAGGAGTCTCAAAGCGGCTAACATTCTCCTTTCCCTTCCTCCCCCACAACAAACACTCTGTGAGGTGAGTGAGGCTGAGAGACTTCAAAGAAGTGTGAGTAGCCCAAGGTCACCCAGCAGTTGCATGAGGAGGAGCGGGGAAGCGAACCCGGTTCACCAGATTACGAGACTACCGCTCTTAACCACTACACCACACTGGCTCTCTAGAAGTTGTTGGCTCCACCTAACATTGGCTCTGGGGCCACCTACTGTTGGCGTCCCCAGCTTCCACCCTACCAGTCCCAATGGGCTACTGCTGGCTACGTACTAAAAAGGTCCACTGCGCATTATTAGCCTGCTAAAATACATTCCAGTGCTTTATAAAAAATAAACCTTGATGAGAGTGGGAGTGAGGGCAGAATTAGGAATGGTTCCTAAACACTATTCACTGTGTGTTTGATGTGATTTGTGAGTCACCTACTGCAATCATACCTCTCAGCAACTTACAGTTTAAAATAATGAGCAACACACACACACACACACACACACACACACACACGGTAGCCTACAAGTAGGTGCGCTGCTTTAGAATCCACTTTGTTTGTTCTTGACTCAAATTCTGATCATTCAAAATATCAGAAACGAAAAACAATCATGTATGTATCTATGTACAGTGGTACTTCGGGTTAAGAACTTAATTCGTTCTGGAGGTCCGTTCTTAACCTGAAACTGTTCTTAACCTGAGGTACCACTTTAGCTAATGGGGCCTCCTGCTGCCGCCGCGCGATTTCTGTTCTCATCCTGAAGCGAAGTTCTTAACCCGAGGTACCACTGTATGTATGTATGGAAAGTATATCTACTTTTGGGCCACCCTGTATAAGCGCTGCATTCAAACAAGGTTAATTCAGAGTAAAGACACTAAAATTAATGGGCCTAAGTTAGTTCCCTGTCAATTTCAACAATTATATTCCGAGTACAACGAAGGTTG